TTGCCGGATTCGATCTGTTGTTATTACATGTGGATTACGGGACAATGAACGGTACTGAAATGGCTTGCATCAGTAACCATTTGAAACGTGATCCTTTATCGTTGTTGCTCGTACAACTCGCGAGCTCGGTCGAATGTTGCTCGTGCAACTGTCGAATTGGGACTGACGCTTGTGCGTGTTCCCGTGAACAAATTGGATAATAACCCCAGCAACCATGGCTGTTTCTACAGATACTACTACAGCCCAAGTTTAAAACATGTAGGCAGTAGTTTGTTTGTGTAGTAAACCAGAGACCCGTGAGGTGAGACCGTGGGGTCATAGAACCCCCTGTGGTGGCGCCGGCTCACCGCGGGGTGAGATCTTGGGGTCACAGAGCCCCGGAAACATGGATGAAGTCACTGGGTCACCTCAAGCACTCATTGTTTACTTCATATTCAGACAGGTCTCACGACGTTATATGGACAGCATTTGATTTGACCAGGCACACGACTTGTAGCTGAAAGAATGTAGATTAATCTCCAGTCAGTGGCAATAACAATAAACGACCACACACTGTTAAAATCGCCCTTGCAACGGTTGACACTGTAGCTCGTCATGCGTACCCCGGTTAGTTCACTTTGGACACCTCTTATACCGTTATACGGGCAGCTTTCGTTTAGATAAAGAACTCGATTTGTAGCTGAAAGTACGTAGATTAATCTACTTATATTGATAATAACAATAAACGACCAGAACACTGTTAAAATCGCATTTAATCGCGGAATACCACCATTTTATTGACCGGTGGCGCCGCCCGTGGCGAATCGCTCAAACTGCTAGCCAAATAATATCGACAGGTGAGTGAAAATTTCTAGTGATGGAACAATGCTAATATCTCAGTTATTAACCACTTAAAATGAACGTTATTAGTCTCAAATTGTCCCTCAGGACTTAATGCATCGACCCAATAGCGCAGAACAGCTGAATTAGTAAAATTAGTTAAGTCTGTATTACTGTAGCCCCTTATGAGGCGGCAACCCTAATTGCAAATAATTTCGAACGTATTTACACCGCTAAACGGGCATGGTTCTTCTTCGTTTTGCATTAGATACACCGCTTAAAGAACGTAGATTACTATTCTCTAACGGCTGAAAACCAGTAACCGCAAGAACATTGTTAAAATCTCAATTGTTTGCAACGGTTGACAGTGTATCTCGCCATGCGTACCCCGTTTAAATCACTTTAGATAGCTCTTCCATCGTTCTATGGACAAGTTACGTCTTGATCAAGCATTCAGTTTCAAGCTGACAGAACGTAGATTAATCTCCTGTCATTGAAAATAACAATAAACGACCAGAACACTGTTAAAATCGCATTTAATCGCGGAGTACCACTATTTTT